GTGTGTGTGTGTGTGTGTGTGTGTGTCTGTGTTTCCTTTTACTCGTAGAGGCATTTGTCTTAAATTTTAATTATATTTACATGTGTTGTTTTTTATATTTTACCTTATGCGTTGTTATGCAAAAAAGGTGGGCGGTCCTTCTTGGGTCAGCTCCTCTACTATTGGTCAAGAGACAGGAAGTAGCAGGATGCATGCCTACCCTGCACTCTACAAAGCTAACCCAGACACATCTATGGAGACCAGTCAGTGCTTAAATCACAGTCTCTGATGGAGACAGTGGTGGTTCAGTGTCTTGCCCAGGGACACTTTGACATGTGACTGAGTAGTGGGGGAATTGAACCCCTAACCACACAGCCACAGTAATGCTATTTACTAAAATTAAACCCCAGTTTTTGGTTTTGGTCAAGTCTGATTGCTTCAACCTGGTTAAAAAATGTTTAAATAATAAAAATAATGACACACAAACAGAAAATAAAAATAATTCATGATGTGAAGGTCACTCTTTATGGTTTGGATCCAGGTTCTGTCGACGGAAAGTTGACAAAACTTTCATCTTTGAATGCTTTCATGCTTTACCTCAAAAGGTTTCTGGCAGTTGCTGTGGAAACGCCTCACCAAGGTTAAAGTAGTAAAACCTGGTTGTGTTTTTTTCACACCCTGTGACCTGAGTTTGATAACAAAGATCCGTGGTTCAGACAGAGTCTCACTCCTCCTCACTTCCAAACACCCCGGTGCGTTTCCTGCCTCCAGCTGTAAATAAAACCCGGTTTCTGTTGTAGTTGTGAGCGTGGAGAGTCGGGAGGCTCACCTGAGCGCCCTGGTGGTGGAGGCGGAGCGTCGGGCGGCCGACTTGGCGGCCCAGGCTCAGAGGGACGGCCTCTCTCTGGAAGCCTGCCACAAAGACAAGCAGCTGAGGACGTGGGAGTGGAGGAGCAAGCTGTACAAGCGCATGAGGACCGGCTTCCAGCACGCACGTGAGTCGCCTGGGATTTCCTCACCTGCGCGGGTTGTTTTCACTCTGACCCGTCACCTGTCTGCGCCCCTGCTCAGGTGCCCCGGAGGCCCCGACGATGGTCCGTCTGAGCGTGAGCAGCAGCACCACGCTGACCGTCAGCTTCCAGGAGCCGCAGAGTCTGAACTCCACCGTGGTCACCAAATACAGAGGTGAGGTCCGAGGATGATGATGTCATCACCTGAGGAGGAAGTATTGATCTGCAGCATCTTTAACCCGGTTCTGGTTCTGGTTCTGTTTCTGTCTGCAGTGGAGTGGAGCTGCCTAAAGGATTTCTCTCTGCTCGCCGGTGACATGGTTCTGGACAATCTGCAGAACCTGAAGTGCACCATCAGCAGCCTCACAACGGTAACACACTGAGACGCACACTTCAGCTGGGCAAAGGTTCTGTCGGATCAGAACCAACAGTTATTACGCTCAGCAGAAACGGGCCCCTTCATTGTTTTCTGGTGGTTCTGGTGTTTCAGGGTCGGCTCTACTACGTGCGGGTGTCAGCGTACAACATGAAGGGCTGGGGTCCGCCCGCCTCCTCGCTGCCTCCATCTGCAGCTCCGTCCAGTAAGTTCACATTCATCTGACCCACCAGAACTCATTCTGACCCACCAGAACCAGGTCTGACAGTGAAGACTCTGAGCAAACAGCAGCCTCACATTATCCCAATAGTTTCATTTCCTTTAACGTGGACCTGGACAAGGTTCTGTTCTGATGGTCTCTGATTCCCCGTGCAGCTCTCGGATCCAGAACCGGCTCTGTGGACTGTGAGAGTTCTGTCTGAAGGTGTTTTTGTGTGGCGTCAGCAGCAACGTGTTCTGTTCTCGGGTCCTCGAGGTGGAACATCGGTTCCAGCTCTCCGTCACGACTCCCTTTTTTCTTTCTGAGCGCTCGGCCTTGAGCTGCCAGCACGCGCGCGTGTGTGTGTGCGAGTGTGTGTTTGAGCGGCAGAGTGTGTGTTTGAGCGGCAGAGTGTGTGTTTGAGCGGCAGAGTGTGTGTTTGAGCGGCAGAGTGTGTGTGGGCGTCTGTTTTAAATAAGCAGAGTGAAAACGACCCAGAGGTCTGAATTAATGAGTTCTAACAGATTTTTCCTCTCAGACGCGTCGATCCGCTTTTGCACCTCGAAAACCAGAACAATTGGGTCCAGAGTGGCCCGGTCCGGTTCTGGCTTTATGGTTTAAATTTTATTTTTAAAAACAGTAGCATTTGTGCAATTCTTCAAAAAAAAAGAGAAAGAAAAAACAACGAGTCAGCGTTTAGTGTTTTATAATCTGAATGCTGCAGACTTTATGCTTTTTCAGCCATTTTTCTATCAAAACTTTAGTTTTTTATAATTAGATATAGAAATACATTAAATTGCATGTCCTTCAAATAAATAAAGTCTAAGAAAACATCTTATATTTAAGAAATTCAGCAGAATACACAGGATTATATTCATTTTGTTACATAACTGGCATATTTTCATTTGAACTTTGCTCAGACAAAGTGAAACAGGAAGTGACATCAAATGGGAACTCGTTAAGAAAGAAAACTCTTTGGTCTTTGTTTATTGAAACAATATTATTTGAACTCTGACTCTTTATCTCTATGATAGACTCAAAATAATCAAAAGAAACATCAGCTACTTTACGTTTTTAGCTGCATTTCCGTTGACCATGAAAATGCGCAAATTGGAATTTCGAAAATAAATTTGCTTAATGGAAACACGTCAATTTCGAAAAAAAAAATCTTTTTTTTTTTGACAAAATGTTTTTGCACTAGGATGAGGTGGTTTTTTTGGCCACGTCGGAATTAGTGTGTTTCGCAAAACTAAAATGGAAACACTTTTTTCGAGAGTCACGTGATCAACAACCGGCTGTTTCTACTGGCGAAAAGAAGACAGGAAGTAGAAGTAGTAGTAAAGTCACCGACTAAAATTTCCCAAAAACACCGCATACGTAGCCGCTAAACTGCTAAACTGGCATTAGCATGTCACTCGAAAGCCTCGATAAGACGCCGACGTCTCCTCTGATGATGAGCGCTAGTGTCGTGGTAGCAATATGCATGTGTTTACATCCGTTGCTGTCATGTTTGTAATGGCTTATCACGAGAACAAATGTATTCACGCTTGACTTTAATAGCATTTCTTACATAATGGAAACACCGCAGTTGAGAAACTGTGTTTTTTCGACATTGACGGAATATCGACAGTTTTGCGAACATTTGCAATGGAAACTCAGCTTGTGTCATTAGTTATTGTAGCAACGCTCTGTTTACATGCTGACATTCCCCTCATGACATCACTTCCTGTTACTTCACGTGCGAATATCTCAACAACTGTTCATCTCAGTGTTGTGAAATTTGTTTTGCAATAAGTTATTAATGTTATCTTTCCAAAAATGCTTTCATGTATATTACAGAAATTTGATGTCATGGGTACTTTAAGACATAACGTTCTGTGTGCGATCTGCTTCAGTGTAGTTCTAGTAATACTGTAGCTGCTAATGCTAATGCTTTTAGCTAGTGTTTGGCTATTTTGTCTTTCAGCTGATTTTCTGTTTTTTGTTTTCAGTCTTTCAGCTGTTTCCGCAGAGAATCAACTTGTTTTTTTCTTTTTTTGTCAGACTGGAGGGAGAGCGACGGCCGGGATCCCAGGAGGCGGGGCCACATCGAGGCCATGGAGCGCCTGCTGCAGCAGGTCCGGGCGACCCACACACACTACTGCTGTGGAGGTGAGGGGTTCAGATAGCAAGCACTCGTGCAGAACCAGTTCTTCGGATTCTTCAGTTTGTTTACAGGAGGGTAATTATGGGATGGAAATAAATTGTCCAGAGTAGAATGTGGCTGAAGTTTGGAGATAGGCATCGCTGAGGGACCGATGAGGAATGAAGGAGATAACGTTCAGAAACTCGAACCCTCTGACCTGAAACTACAGGAGTCAGAATGGTTCCATCAAAGTTCTTCTAACTTCCTGTTTGTTGTTCTGCAGACCCGTCGAAGCTGCAGAACCCCATCAGGAAGCAGTCTGTCTCCAGAAGCCTCAAACATCTCTTCAACTCCAACAAGTTCGTGAAAACATTGAAAAGGTTGGTTTTAGGTTCTACTGCAGGATTGTTACCGAACTGGGTCAGAAACGGTTCTGAGTCTGGTCTGTATGGACCGTATCTCCGTGTGCAGGGGGATCTACTTGGCTGCCGTCTTCTACCATAAGGACAGTTTACTGGTGACGGCCGAGGACCAGATCCCCATCGTGGAGGTGGACGACTCCTACAGCAGCTCGCTCATGCAGGACTTCCTGTGGTTCACAAAGGTACCGCCAAGGACCGCCATGAGGTCCAGACTCACCTCCTCAAACCAAACACACAGGCCTCACAGACAGGAAATTACAACTATATTAGAAAAATGTTTATTTTGGAATAATTCAGAGGTTTGATGTTAGCTGAAGTGCTAAGCTGATATTAGCTTGAAACAGCTGAAGTGTTACCTTGATGTTACCTCAGTACCTGGAGTGCTAAGCTAATATTAACTTGAGGTAGCTGTAGTGTTAAGCTGACTTTAGCATGAGTTAGCTGTAGTGCTTAGCTAATGTTAGCTCAGTAGCTGAAGTGCTAAGCTGACATTAGCTTGAGTTAGCTGAAGCGCTAAGCTGGTATTAGCTTGAGTTAGCTGAACTGCTAAGCTGGTATAAGCTTGAGTTAGCTGAAGTGCTAAGTTGACATTAGCTTCAGTTATCTGAATTGCTTAGCTGATATTAGCATGTTAGCTGAAGTGCTATGCTGATATTAACTTGAGTTAGCTGAAGTGCTAAGCTGAAATTAGCTTGAGTTAGCTGAAGTGCTAAGCTGACATTAGCTTGGGTTAGCTGAAGTGCTAAGCTGATATTAGCTTGAGTTAGCTGAAGTGCTAAGCTGACATTAGCACGAGTTAGCTGAACTGCTAAGCTGACATTAGCACAAGTTAGTTGAACTGCTAAGCTGACATTAGCATGAGTTAGCTGAAGTGCTAAGCTGACATTAGCACAAGTTAGCTGAAGTGCTACGCTGATATTAAAGAGTAACTTACCCCAAAATTAACTTTTTTTAGCTGATAAACTGCCTAGAATGTGTCTAAAATGTTATATAGTACTGTTTCTGTGCTAATGTTGATGTTTTTGTGCGTATTTGTTCAAATCTGTAACATTTGGTCTAAAAACGTGTTTTTACTGCTCATATGGGTAGAGCAGTGGTACTGCAGGCTAATTTGCATATTGGTTAACGGCTTTCCACGGTGACGTGTCTTCTCCACGGTTTCGTCACAGCGGCTGTGTTCTGGTATAAAAACCTCTCTCTAAGACACGCCCCTGCAGCAGTCAGAGGGTGGAATAGTTAGCAAGCTTAGCATGATCGTCTGTTGACCTTCAGCCTCAGGTGGGGAGAACTGACTGCTGCGCTGCCCTCTCTTTCTCTCTCCCTCTCTCTCTCTCTCTTCACACACACACACACACACACACACACACACACACACACACACACACACACACACACATCGGGGCTCTCAGCATGCCTGCTGGGATGCTGTCAGCAGTCACATCACCCCCTGCCCTGAGTCCTGACAGATTCATCAGGACCGCAACACACACACATACACACACACACACACACACACACACACACACACACACACACACACACACACACTG